CATCATAAATGCTGAGCTGGAAGTCCAGCCAAGCAGTCTTTTCTTGGGAAAAAGATTTCTTGAGGACAGTTATTAATTGGGAAACAGCATGTAAGCTTTTAAACTGAGCCTGAGATGAGCGCAGCCCCTCTAGACAGAGACTCACAGTTTCGGATCATTACAGCCTCCCTTACCCCATCCCCATCCCCACAGCTCCCCAGGACCCTGGAGATGCTAACCTGGGCCAGGAGCCCAAGTCATCTGCTTAGGAAAAGAGGAGCTAAAATGAGATGTGCCCTTTGTGAAAATCCACAGCAGGATCTCGTTCTCTTTGCCTTTTGTAGCAATGACTCATAAATCCTACTTTACAAGGAAATGCCCCCCAGGTAACAGTGCACTAACCCGGAAGTGTCTTCCAAGTGTAACAAACTAGAAATGGCCCTCCTCAAATAGTTGTCAGTGCGTACAACTCAGTCCAGCACACCCTGCTTTGAGATTCTGTGCTCAACTTGAAAATCTTTGTTTATCCCTTTGTTCCCCTGCCTCTGAGAACCCCTCCCCCATCCCTGAGCAGCAGCAGGGGTAGAAAGAAGACCGGGTGGTGAGTTCTGTCTTTGCCTTGGGGAAGTGCCCTGGCCTCTCTGAGCCTCAGTTTTCTTATCTGAAAGGGAGTGACACATTAACCACAAAGGTGTCATTGAGATGTAAATAAGGCGTGCAAGTGACTGCACAAGTAAGCTGGAAGATGTCCTACACATGGACGTTACTGCTGCAAACCGGAAATTCATTGGTCTCCGCTCCTCCAGGTTCTAAACGAAAAGTAATCTGTGGCCCTTATTAAGACAAAAAGGCAGATTGTATTCAGGGAGCACTGCAGTGGGAGTTTAATAGCAGAGGAAAGAGATCAGCTCAGCTGTGACTCCAACCAGGACGCATGGAGATTTATAGCCAAGGAGCAGGGTGGGGTCTGTGGACAGAAAATTGCTGAGAGGAAACAGACTAGGGGGCTTCTTGCTAGACTGACTGCTTTGGATTCTGCCCTTGAGATAGTCAGCCAGGTGCAGCTACAACAGGAGGCAGAGGAGAGACGCAGGGAAAAACAAAGTTTCTTATACTCATGAGTCCCAGACAGATGGGGCCAAGAGGAGAGACACAGGGCACAGGGTCCACCAAGTGGGAGACGCAGAGGAGACCTGTGGCAAGGACCTTTATTGGGGATCAGGAAAGGGTACACACAAGAGGCATGGGCGATGTCACCGGTGTGTTTGAATGTCACTGGGTCACAGTGGGGAGGTTGGAAGGGGAACTTGTGGTGTGAATCACCTTATAGGGATGTTAAGGCAGCAGGAAAATAGGAGGTTTTAAAGACTCAGCGGGGTTCTTGCTGAGGGCAGGCCAGGGTGATCAGGTAACAAAGCTGGGGTTTAATGGTAATGGAAAAAATATATAATAAAGGTTAAATTTTAAAAATAAAAAAAGGCAAGGGTGAGCATTTTGATCAGATATCAGCGGGGAAGGAGGGATTGTCACTAAACTAATCCAACAGGATTTTTGCTTAAATTGGACTGACCAGGCCAAGGACACATCCCAAGATCAAGACCTTGAGGACTCAGAGGGCCTCCTAGAATCAGGACAGATAGAGACCCTTGGTCACTGGCTGCCTCTTCTTTCTTGCCTCCAAGTCTACAGCTGGCCCAGAAAACAGGCAAACAGATGGCCAGCTGCTTCCGGCCACCACCGCCCCGGGTGCAATTAAAAAAAGTTGAGAGCTCCATCGCAGGCAGCGCTGAGCAAGGCACAGACAGGACTTCGCTCAGCTGCACAGGTGCAAGCCTGCCCTGGTTCCGAGAGGCTTCCGGAAGCGCGCCAGGGCAGCATTGTCCAATGGGTACCACGGTTCAGGTCTTGTCCGAGTGAAAGGGCCCGTAAAACTGATGCAGAGGAGAACAAGCCCTCCTCCCTTCCCGCAGGACAGACATGCCGGCCAAAGTGTCGGGATCGATGGGCAAGAAACAGACAAAAAAGAACCTCGGTGCACCCAGGACCCGGTGACTGGCTTGAGGCCTGAGCAGGTTTCCTGTCTTCGCCCTGTCTCAGGAGTAGCAGACACTGGCTTCACACAGAGGGCCTGTGTGCATTAGGAAGCTCTGTGTCATGACACAGGTGCAGAACTGTTTTTAGTCTACTCAGTGAGATACTCAAAATAGGAGGTGACGCTCCTGGTCACTGACTGCAGTTCAGGTTGCTCCCATAGGGGGAAGGTATGAGCAGGGCAGGCTGCTTTAAAGGGAAGATAAAGGACTGGTTTTGCAGGTTAAATTAGAATGAGGAAAGGTGGATTTGCTTCAGGGCCCCACGGGCTTATCTGCAACAGGAGACAGCATGGAGGAGATAGATATCCGGCACCCCATTTCTTCCAACCGGGTGGGCACCACCCCGATAAGTTACCATCAGAAAAGAACCGTTGCAGCTTATGTGCTGACTTGCATAAAAGTCAAGGAAATTGCTGCAGGCAAAATACCCCGGCTGCCCTCTGCGGCACTTTGCCTGTGAGGTTAGACGAAGAAATCAGCCAGAACAACCTCCTGTCCCACGATCACTGTCCAAGCCGTGGGTTCCAGCCCCAGCCAACCCGACACTGTATCGCGTGCATTTAGTGATGCTTCTTTACCCCCCTTTACACAGATAACAATGTACCTACTCAGGTAATTTTAAAAGATTAATAGAATGCCCTAACTATAATATAACAACGAGATTGAAGAAAAATCCTTACGGTAAAATATAGTGTGTCAGTATGTTAATGCTGGGCACAGGGCATGCGGGGGTGTAGTGAGATCGGCAGATACTCTGACCCACTCACAGAAGCCCTGAACACAATGCCCACAGACGCCCGTGGACATCAGAGGGCGGGGGTGGCACCTCACACACGCAGCGACTGCTGACATGATGTTCGTAAAGATCAAAATTTTACATATATACATACACACATATAACATTTCTACATATGTGTGTGTATATATATAAATTTTTTAAAATAGTTGCATTCTTGGAAAACTCAGTATGTATGAAACGATGCCCTCTCTCCCAACCCTGTAAAAAAGCCCTCTGGGTCATATGTAAAGTGACACAGTTAAGTCCTAAGCTCAGATATTACAAACAAGTGTATTTCCTATATCCATGCTCAGCACACACAAGTCAGCCCAGGAGAATTCTTACTGCTCAGGACATTGTGTGTACACGTCTGAGCATCTCAGACCCACCTCCAGTGGCATCCCTCAAGGGTGGGAACTAAAAATGTCCGAGCAGATGCCTTACACGTCCAGTAGGGGGGCAGTGTTGCCCTGTTGAGAAAGTGGAGTCACAATTTACCAACAGAAAATAGAGGTAGGAACTTTGGAGCCTTCAGGAGAGTTGTGAGTTTGTCACAGGAGCTGACTCGGTCACTAGGGGAGAGTAACAGTGGCTCAGCCGTCAATCGGCGCCTCTCAGGGTTTAGAACTGGATGCTGTGGTCTGGCCAGGTCTGAGATCACACCGGGACAGAGAGGAAGGTGCCTCCCTCTGAAACGCTCTTGCCTGGGCCACCCCTTAGTCAAGTCACTTATGCCGCACCTCTTTGTTGAACATCCTGCTTGAGCCAGGTGCTGGGGTTACCATCTTTCCTGTCAGGCTAGCTTCTAGTCTAGAGGGAGAGAGCTTAACGCAGTTACCCTGCGGTCTGGCGGGATCATGATGGAGAACCAGGCACATGTGGGCCTGAGCCTGCCAGGGAGGAAAAGTCCAGGAGAGAACACAGCAAGACAGGTCTCATGGGATGCATGGAAGTTGCCAAGCTAGAGCAGAGGGGACCATCCTGGGGGGAGAGGAGGAATCCACCTCAGGCTGATGTCACAGCTGCAACAGGTGCTTGTCACAGAGCCAGATGCCAGGCTGGGTGGTGGAAATGAGGACGGGAGGGAGCCAGGGTGGCATGATTGACGTGCCACTATGTAGACCTTGAGGTTTTTCCTCTGGGTGCACAGAACACCTTGCCCACACCTTCCCATCAGAAGCACTCATCTTATATTTGATGTCAGAGTGTTCGCAAGTCTGTGTCTCTCCAAGACCATAGATCTGGGACAGGTCTAGACCTTCGCATTCCCAGCACTGTGCTTAGCACACAGGAGGTCCTCCATAAATGTTTATGGATGGATGGACGGATGGATGGGTGAGTGAATTATCCAGTGTTTGGGAGACTCTTGCTTCTCCCTGTAGGATGGAGAAGGAAGAAAGTGGAAGGGTGCCCGGGTCTCTGGGCTGCTTCCCACGATTTAGCTTTCTGCCTCCTGAAGCCCTTCTTCTCTTCATCTTGTACCATCACAGTGTCAGAGCGGAACCAGACCCCTCCACACGGAGAGGAACAGAGGAGCAGGTGCCCCGACCCCTGTCACAGGGCTGACCCTGTTTCACCGGATGCGCCACCCATTCGTTATGCATCAAAATACAAATCAACAAATCCGTAGAGACAGAGAGCAGATTGGCGGTGGCTGGTGGCTGCCCGGAGAGGGGAGTGGGAAATGAGCGCTAATGGGCACTGGGTCTTTTTCTGGGCTGATGACAATGCTCTGGAACCAGATGGCAGTGGTGGTTGTACAACATTGTAAATGCACTAAAAGCCTCTGGATGGTACAGTTTAAAATGGTTAAAGTGGTGAATTATATGTTATGTGCATTTTATTTTTTCTGTTTTTTGAAAGGACTCAACTAAATGAAGTCTTTAATAACTTAGACACTGGGACTGTAAAGTAAAACATGATGTCTATAGTTAATACTGCTGTATGGTACATTTGGAAGTTCCTGAGAGTGTTACGTGCATTTTACACGAATTTTTTTTTTTAACGTATAACGGAGATAGAACAAAATGGGTAAAAATCACAGAGCAGGAAGGATGCAGCCCAGGGGTTCCGAGCCCTGATAGTCAGCACGGCCACCTGCTCAGGGCCTTCTCTCTGTGACTAACAGGCCCTCTTTCATCTGTGCTCAGGATACGCACCGAGGACTTTTCATCCAGCAACTGCGCCCCACACAGAACCTGCAGCCGAGGATCAAACTGAAGCTGTTCGGCCATTCGGGCTCTGGGAAAACCACCCTGGTGGAGTCTCTCAAGTGTGGGCTGCTGAGGAGCTTCTTCCGACGACGCCGGCCCAGACTCTCCTCCACCAACTCCACCAGGTTTCCGCCTTCACCCCTGGCTTCCAAGCCGGCAGGTAGGTACCTCCAGGCCAGCCCCTGTCCCTCCAGTAGTTGCTTGCTTTTGCCCTCCCTCGGGTCAGGGTCTAAAATGAGTGGTGGCTTTGTTATGGTCAGCTGATCCCAGGCTGACTAGATCCCACCACCTGGGTGGCTTTCAGGTGGGGCCTAGCCCTCCTGTTGCCCGGGGGTTTTTAAGGACAAAAAGGCAGATTGTATTCAGGGAGCACTGCAGTGGGAGTTTGTAGCAGAGGAAAGAGATCAGCTCAGCTGTGACTCCAACCAGGACGCATGGAGATTTAGAGCCAAGGAGCAGGGTGGGGCCTCACTGAATTCACAGTCACAGACACAAAGTTCACAATTACAGATGTGCAAATAGCAGAATTGTGTTGAGTTCCACTCAGGGCCTCTGCTCTTAAAGACACAGGGAGCTAGGCTGACACTGTTCCAGATCGCACAGATCGAGTATTGGCCCCCGGATGGGTCCTCACCCCATGCTTTCTTCTTGGAAGGCTGCGGAAACACCTAGAAATTTAAGGATGTAGAGCAACAAAATTGGATTCAAGTAGGATCACCAGCCGGCACATTCAAAACGGGTCAATAGTTTTGAAAGGCTCCCTAACAGTTTTCACGGTAGGTCCCTCCACTCACATGGACCCTTATTGGGAAGCAGGCTTTGCTGCCTTCCTCTACCTTCCTGAGACACGATTATTAGTGGATTCACACCCAGAACTTTAAGATTACCTGTCCTTCCCCAGAGAGAAATATCGCAGTGAACAAGAGGAAAGTGTGCAAACTGGGTGTTATTTCTCCTGAACCCCACTTTAGAGTGAAGGACTGAACTTTTGCTAAGGAAGAATAGAGACCGTCAAAGATTTTCCTAAATAACGTCAGTTTTGAAGCCTTGTGCCTCAAATTAATTTTCTGTACCTCATATCACAAAGGTGTCATGTCTGTTCCCTCAGTTGAAAACAAATGTTTCATAGTTTGTGGTTCTGTGTAATGCTTCTCTCTTCAAGGAAGGGGGTCTGGGAAGCATTAGTGTAGGGGCACAGTTGGCTGAGATTTGTACGCCCCTTTCCACTTGTTGTCACAAGCAGACACTTGGAGGAAAAAAAAATGGATTCTTAATTAGAATGACTATAAAGTTGCTAACTCATATTGCTGATACTTACCAAGCACTCACTGTGTGTCAGAAACTGGGCAAAATGTGGACATGTGACAACTCATTTCATCTGTGAAGCAGGATTATGGGGTATTTTTACCACTGTTTTCCAGAAGCTGTGAGGGGTCAAGTAGGCTGCCCAGGGTCACAGAGCTGGCAGTTCATGAAATGTCTGGCTCCTGAACCAGTGCTTGTTAGTGGCAAGCTTCTCAGTAACGGTGTTTGTGTGCCCACCTTTTCCGTTGCCACTGTAACTTTGCCAGCATTCCTAGTCCAAGGTCAGCCTCTCTGGCAGTTACGGTGTCGCCCTAGAGGGAGCCAGCTCTCTCCTGTGAAGAATTAAGGTCACTCCAATCTGAGCCACTGTTTGGGGGTGGGAAGGGTAGAGATCGTGTGTGTGTGTGTATGTGTGTGTGTAAGAGAGACACAAAACAAAGAGATCTATGTGGATCTGTGGTCTGAAATTTTTAATAAGTCCTCATTGGGTATAAAGATGATGGCCCAGGTCCCATGAGCTAAACTGAACCAGCCACACATCAAGTGGTATGTGGCTTCCTCTCCAGGAATAGATTTCACCTGCTGCTCAACCCTACACCCAAAAGTAATGTCTCTATTCATCTTTCTTGCGGTCCATCTCCCACATCTGAAAGAATCTGGAAGTAGATTCCTGATAAAAATTCAACTCAGGATGACCAGATTATCAATAAGTTGGAACATGCACAACGTCCTCAGCCAGTGCTTAGAGAGACGGGGGTCACGGGGCTCAGTGACAGAAGATTCCCTCAACCAAACGAGCCACCCCCGCCGCAATCAGCGCGCACACAGCGGCCTCATGGGGAGGCTGCTCCTCTTGTTCTCTCAGCTCCCTTGGTTCAGAGCTGCCTTCTTGGGCCGAACCCTCAAATGTCCATGTCAAGGTCCCTCCTCAGCGAGGGCCGGGCTTCTTCGAAAGGACTGCTGGGAGGTAGACACTGCTCTTCCTTACAGCCCATGGGCCTCAGTTCTTCAGCATCTCCCTGGTGTCCTGTCATCTCGGAGGATGCTGGGTTCCCACCAGCATGGGGAAAATCTCCAAACCGTGTTCCCTTCCCCTGGGAGCTGACGTCCCCGCTCTCTCAGGAAGCACAGCTCTGGTGTCTGTGGTCCCGCGACTGAAACAAAGTCCACTCTAGGACTTGCAAGACTCAAGAAGGTAACAAATGCCAGAAACCTAGGAGAGAAGGCAAAGAGGATGCCCAATGACTGATGGCCCAGCTAACAAAGTTGCTGCTTCTTGGGGAGACAACAGCAAAACCTAGGGGGGAGCTAGACAGCGTGGAACGGCGCGTGGGTGATGCCCGTAGTTTGTGCTGACCTCTGTTCCAGCTGCTGTGCACCTCGTCTCATCATATTCTCTTAATTTTGTACAATTGGGTCATAAACCCATTTCAGAGAAAAGGAACTCAAGGCTTATAGACATGAGGTGTCTCTGCCTACGCAGAGGCTGAAACCCAGCCACCTGGCAGCTGCAGTATGGGGGAGTGGAAAGAGAAAAATGGAATTAGCTGCCAATTTTGAAAAAGGTGAAGGGATTAAGAAAAAAAAACCCTCATAGTCACAGACAATAGGGGAGCAGGGCAGGTAGAAGAGGATAAAAGAGATAAACGGTGATGGGAGGAGACTGGACTTGGGATGTGAACACACAATACAATATACAGATGATGTATTATAGAACTGTACACCTGAAACCCATATAATTTTATTAATTGTCAGCACAATAAATTCAATAAAAATTAAAATAAATTTTAAATAAATATTAAAAAAGAAAAAAATCAAAAGATTTCACCTAAAAAGCTAAATACTTTGCTTCTTGTGGCAGAGTGGAAGCTTTGGCCACACGGGATCACATTCCCACCTGGTGCCAATTAGTGGGCAGGAGGGCGGCTGCACCATATAGGGGGACACATTCTCTGCATTTGGCCCCATCTCCACCCAGCCCCCAAACTCGAAGAGTCCCATAGACCAGGAGTGAGAGCTCAGAAGCAGACACCCCCACCCCATGCATGAAATTTTGCCTTTTATAGAAATGACATTTCAGGAATGCATTGGCGTGTGTGACGCTTGGGCCAAGGTCACCCCTAGGCAATGTCAGAGGGGTAATTCAGTCCCAGATCTGTCTGGCCAAAGCCAGGTGGCCTCCTGGAGGGCCTCGGCAGGTACAGAAGAGATGCAGAACCCACGGAGGTCTGTGTTGCTTGGTACCCAGGTGGGCGGTCTGCTCTAAGGGGTGGGTAAAGTTTCTATCCAAAAAGTCTCCGGAAGATGCAAAAGTCATCTTTAGTTAAATCTAGACCTGCCTGAGGGCTGAAAATAGCCAGGAGCCCACCTGCAGGCCCTGGAGCAGGCCCTCCTGCTGCCCAGGGCCGAGCAAGCACGGCCTGGGCCGCGGGAGCCACCGGCAGGAGGCAGCCACGCGCAAGGCCCGGGCACCCACCAGCCCTCGTCGGGCAGCTCACCAGTCACTGCCTGGCCATTACAAAACAGCATTCACGATGTCTTTGGGAAAGCAGAGCGTGGCACAAGTATGAGATGGCATGAGGGCCAGCTGGAGGAGACGGGGTTGGGGAAGGGGCAGGCTACACTGGGTGGCTGTGGCCTCCAGGGAAGGAAGCCTGTTTCCGAACACAACAGCATTGTCACTTCTGAGTGGCTCTGCTGGTTAGTGTCTGGGGGCCATGCTCTGCCATCTCCCAGACCAGCGCTCTGGACACCCATGACCGCGTTAGAATGGTCAGGCCTGTCTCCTTTTCTGGGAGAGGTACCTGCCTTTACATCACTCAGACAGCCCGAAGCTTGTTTGCCATGAGAAAGCTGGCCCTTTGTGTTATCCCGGGAAAACGCTGGAGGCCAAAGGCTGAGCCACCAACAGGAGGCAGCCTTTCTCTCCTCCCAGCCTCTCCAGTGCCTCCCATTGGCCAACCGGAACCAGCAGCAAATGGCCGTCAAGCCTGGGAGACTAGTCCCTGGGGTCAGCCTCTCGGGACTCGGGAGGTGGTGCACACAGGAAGAATCAGCCCAACGTTTCTGGGAGGGGTTGCTCCGCAGCACACCCAAGGGACGGAAGCAGGAGTGGGGTGGGGACAGGGAGTGTCCCGGGAAAGGGCAATGGAGGAGCAACGGCCGGGAGCGAGAGCAAGCATGCGCGCTGCCCTGTGCTGTCTCACCGGCTTCCTCTCTGCCCGCAGTCTCCGTGAGCATCAACAACCTGTACCCGGGCTGCGAGAATGTGAGCGTGAGGAGCCGCAGCATGATGTTCGAGCCGGGCCTCACCAAGGGGATGCTGGAGGTGTTCGTGGCTCCGTCCCACCACCCGCACTGCTCCGCTGATGACCAGTCCACTAAGGCCATCGACATCCAGAACGCCTACTTGAATGGTAGGTCCCGCCCACCGCCAAGGGGAAGGACTTCAGCATTCCCTTGCCAGGGCTTTAGGGGATCCCGCTGAGGGAGCCTGACCCGGTGGGCAGCATCACAGCCCCACCGCGGACGGAGGAGGAGCCAGTGCAGTGACGTTGGCAGTGACCCAGGGCTGACGCAGGGCTGGCTGATGTCCTCCGCAGCTAGCAGAGCACCGGGCGCACAGTAGGTGCTTAATGAATCGCTTTACTATTGAGTAAATTAGTAACATTTTTTTAAAGTAGAGCTAAACATCCACTTGGATGGGAAATCTCCTAAGATACAATCCCTCTAGCAGTTTGATTCACCCGGTATAGAAGAAGAGTTATTTTTAAATACATTTACCCTCATGGCTAATGCATTGATATAGACATAGGCAATTTTTTTTGATAGGCCAAATTTCAAGTGTGTTCTTTGCTCTCAAACATTTGCAAGCGGGTGAAGCTTTAAATGTTTCCAGGGATGGTTTACTTCCTCCGGTAACCACTGCATCTTCCTGGCAGCAGCCTCGGGGCTCCCGGCCCCCAGCTGGGCCCACGTCACTTGAACAACAAGGCCCTGCCTTCTTGAGACTCAGTTTAGAAAAAGAAAAAGCAATTCCTCCAAGACTCAGTTCCCTCATCCATAAGGATTTTATGAGCTGATATTTTTAAAAGGCTTGGTACAGCCTCTGGCAAAGGGAGGCAGGTGGGGGCATCTTCATGAAGGCTACTCCATGTGTGTGACCTGAAGCGGAGGTTCTTAAACCCCACCTTGCACCAAATCCCCGGAGGACGCCTGGCAACAGACTACCCCCCCTCCCCCAGAGCTTCTGGTTCAGCAGGCCTGGGGGTTCCTAGGTGATGCTGCTGCTGCTGGTCCAAGAACCCCGAACCATAAGCCCCAGTAGAACAGAATTAAGGGTCATGCACATTTTGCTGTCTTTTAAAAGTTGAACATTCTCCAAGCAAGCTGGCCCTGTGGCATAAAGAAAGGAGAAACGTGTCCTCAGCACCCGCCATGTCTGCCCCTTGTCCCCCACAGGCCTCCTCCCCATCCCGAGCCCGGCTGCCAGTTCTCCCAGTGCTGAGAGAGCCTCTGTCTGTGTTACAGAACTTTTCACTCGAAGGTCTTAGCTGCCAGACGTTGAGGGTCGTGAGCCCCAGGAGAGCCTGTGCTCCAGGAGGAGGCTCTAGACTAGCCCTGGGGACCTTCCACAATGGCCCAGGCATTCATCATAAAGATATTACAAAGATAGCCCTATGCTTACGTAGGTGCGGAGAAACGGATAAATGCTCTGGATGACACCATCCCTACTGGTAACCTCTAAAGTGCTAAGGAAAACTGTGAATGAAATTTGGGGGTGGCATTTCACAATAGTAAGCTTCATTTTTCTCTGTAGGAGTTGGCGAGTTCAGTGTGTGGGAGTTCTCTGGAAATCCTGTGTACTTCTGCTCTTATGACTATTTTGCTGCAAATGACCCCACATCAATCCATGTCATCGTTTTTAGTCTAGAAGAGCCCTATGAGATCCAGCTGAATCAAGTGATTTTCTGGCTCAGTTTCCTGAAGTCTCTGGTGCCAGTTGAAGAGCCCATAGGTAAGCTGAGGCACCCCTGGGGGAGTGAGCATCCTTCCCACTGGCCTGCCCACCCCCGCCAGGCTGGGCCCCTACAGCCTGTGGCCGACAGCTGTGGACACCTGCGTTCCTCCCTCCTACGGGGAGATTTCCACTCTGGAAGTTCCCTGCGGCTCAGCTGTTGTTTTTGTTCTACAGGGAGTTGTTTCATGATCACATGTTTCGCCAGGAAGACCTGATTCTGAGCTACTACTCCTTGAGGGCCATTTCTCACTTTCTTCCTATATTTTAGAGCTGTGGTCACTTTTGTCGGGTGCAAAGTGGGACACTTCCTTTGATAGCTACTGTACCTTTCCCTCTCGGGTACATAATTCTTAAGCAGAATGAGCTCTCCTCATTCCGGGGAAGAAAAAGGACCATATTGACTAAATGCATTGTCTTAACTTTATCCTAGAGGAGAAAATAGCGTTGTTCTTTTCCTACAACAAAAGCAGCAGCCTTCTCTTGTGAAACACAAAACTCAGCAGTCGATTTTTTCTTTGAAAAGCATGTACGTAATTAAATAAATGGAGCTTAATCCCCCACAGGGTACCATCACTTTATCTCGCTTTCTCTCTCTCCTTTCTCTCCTTTTTTTTTAACGGTCTCATCTTAAACACTCCCAGAAGCGAGAGGTTGTCTGTGTGAATTGCAGGAGTTTCCCTTTGGAGTCATTTCTGTGGTGTCGCTGCATTCAGAGGGCTTTCTTTAGGCTCGTAAAGGGCCAGCCCCTAGTCAGAGGTCGGATCTCCCCACACCCTGCAAGCGGGGCCCATTTGGAGGTAGATTTGAGAAGCTGCCTTGTGTCCTGCGGTCAGTTCCATCCATTTCTGAACAGCTTTTCCCGAGACCCAGAAAACGGGCTCATTCTGTTATTGGCAGGGCCTGGGGCCCAGGGGTCGTGGTGCGCAGCCTGCGCTGGGCCGCGAGTCTTCAGGCAGGTTGCGCATCCACCTGGACAGGTAGCCGGGCCTGAGGCCAGCTCAGCCCACCTCCCCTGGGGAGGAAGGTGACCAGGAAAGAGGACCCCTGAACCCCCAGTCCTCTCTCTGCTCCCAGCCTTCGGCGGCAAGCTGAAGAACCCGCTCCGAGTCGTGCTGGTGGCCACCCACGCCGACATCATGAACGTTCCCCGTCCGGCTGGAGGCGAGTTTGGATATGACAAAGACACGACATTGTTGAAGGAGATCAGAAACAGGTGAGGGGCGGCCGCTGGGTCTTCAGGGGTAACACCCCCAAGTCCTGTGAACTACAGAAAGGACTTAGAGAAATGAAAGGCCTCTTTTCATTGGTCTATCAAAGCAATGAATATACATGATAACAAATCAAACAGAAGTAAATAGCACAGGATAAAAAGAAACAGTCTTCTAACTTTTCTCACCACCTCCTGGTACCACTGCCTAGAGATAACTTCTTTTAGTTGCTTTATGTTTTGTTTTGTTTTGTTTTCAGTTTATTGTGGTATCATTGACAAATACAATCGTAAGATATTTAAAATATACATTGTGGTGATTTGATATGTGTTACCACGTGAAAGGATTCGCACCATCTGGGTAATTAAAACACCCATCATTCACATTTATTTCTTTCTCTCGTGAGAATACTGAAATTCTCCTCTCAGGGAGTAAAATGCAGCATTAGCAACTGCGGTCACCATGGGATACATTAGATGCATAGTTCTTTTTGTTATTTTAGCTTTCGGGGTTTTTTTCATGATTATCCTGGTACGACTAATCAACTTTTCTCAAAATACTGGGTTATGAAATTCATTTAGAGGGTCCTGACCAACTCTGTGAAGTGGGTGGAGAGGACCGGGATACAGTGGAGAATATCAGGGTGCATTTCACATGAAGTAGCTCTGCAAAACTTGTGTTTCACTTATAAATATGGATGTGGACACAGTCACCCTGTAAAAAGTACATCGAGGGTGGGGCAAATGTACGTTTACAGTTGTTCATATGAAAAATAATACAATAATTAATAAATAATAAGAAAAACTCATTTCGTGAACTCACAACTGTAAACCTACATTTGCCCCACCCTCCAATCCTACTTGGTGTCTATCAACAGAAAGTTTAAACCTGCAGCTCTGGAAATGTGCTAATAACTTCAATTCTCTTCAACTGAAGATGCTAATCTACTATCTTCCTGCTGTGAAAAATAGGGCGCTACTCATATTTTTAGATCTCAGCTGTAACTTTCATACTCATCCCTCTATTCTTATTCTATCAACTGCGGCAGCATCTCTTCTCTTAACTTGTAAGGTGAGCACGTTAGGCCTCACCTTGCCTGAGTCGGGGCAGCTGCTCTCTTTCCACACCGTGCCCCTGCCGTTTTATGGGCCCCGAGGTGCTTGTCTGCATGACTGGAAGCACGTGGGGATCTCCAGCCTCTGCCCCAGTGTCACATCACAGAGCCCAGCGCACTGCAGGGAGGGGGACCTCTGCAAGGTCGCCAGAACGCCCTGGCCTCCTCCCAGCCTTTCACGCCCTGCCGTGGAAACACCTGGTGAAACTGTGTCTCTCTGATGAAGCTACCGCTCTTCCCTTAGGTTTGGGAATGATCTGCACATTTCCAATAAGCTGTTTGTTCTGGATGCTGGGGCTTCTGGGTCTAAGGACATGAAAGTACTTCGAAATCACCTGCAAGAAATACGGAGCCAGATTGTTTCAGTGAGTATACCTGGGAAGGGCAGGAACCCTCCCTCTGCCCAGCCCATCCAGGAACCCCGTGAGCTGGGTGTCTTTGTCCTGCCCTCTAGGTTTGGTTCAGTTTTCAGGGGACCCATTGAGAAGCAGCTGCATGGACGTGCTCTTATCCTAAGAAAGAGCAGAGAGCGAAGGAGATGGCTGTGAGGCGAAGGGAGTGTTATGGACACAGTGGACCACTTTAGAGTGTAGGAAATGATGACAGTTTTAGTGGATTGTTTAAAAGTAAAATTGCTTTTGACAAATTACAAAAGCAGTTCAAAAGTGACTTGTGAAGAACTGTATGATTTCACCTATATATAGGATAAAAAAACAGAAAGCAGCAAATGAACAAACAAACAGAATCAGACACAGCAGAAGTCATTACCGAAGGACAAGGGAGTTGGGGGAGATGAAGAGGGTACACGGGGTCAAACTTATGGTAACGGAGAAGACTAGACTTTGAGTGGTGAGCACACAATGCAATAAACAGATGATATGTTATAGAATTGAACACTTGATACTTATATAATGTTATTAACCATTGTCACCCCAATAAACATAATACATTTTTAAAAAATTTAATGATACAGCCCTGGCTGATGTGGCTCAGTGGGTTGAGTGCTGGCCTAGGAACCAAAAGGTCGCTGGTTCAATTCCCAGCAGTGGCACATGCCTGCAATTCGGGCCAATTTCCCAGTTGGCAACCAATGCGAGAGGCAACCAATAGATGTTTCTTTCACTGTCTTCCTCCCTCCCTTCCCCTCTCTCTAAAATATAAATAAAGTCTTTATTTTTTAAAAAAAATCCAAAAAAGCAACTTATGAAATATTTAGAAAATGCAGAAAAGTATAAAGAAAGTCACCACCATTTATTGAAAGCGCCGAATCGTAACCACTAGACCACCAGGGAACTTGAACCACCATTTATTGAAAGGCATAAAATAACAGATGAACAAAATGGAATAAGACTGTTTTCTTGGATAGCAAGATCTTAGAAAATGTTTCACTTTCCCAAATTATATAAATTAATACAGTTCCAGGTAGCATCTGAATGGGATTGAGAGGACCGTGTTTTTAATCTTAAAATTAATGAAGGAGCTATCACAACTGGCTATATGCTTAGAAAGACATATGGTTGAATACCTAATCACTGCATAGCCCAAAAATAAATTCTAGACAGATTAAAGCTTTTAAATGTAAAACAAAGCACCATCTTTAATGGAAATGTGAGAGAATGGAATTTAAAATAACTTGGGACTGCTTTGGTAAACCTTTCAAAAGAAGATAGAAAACCGCAGAAGTTGTCAAAGAAAAATAGGCCTATATGACAACATCAAAGTTAAATTTTTCTTTTCTGGCAAACAAATTCTATAAACAAAGTTAAAAGACAAGATAGACTGGGGGATTATATTCTCGGGTGTTACACATCCAAGGCTATTATCCATCATATTCAACAAGCATCTGAGATTGGTGTGAAAGGGGCAAAGCCGCCCCTGGAGCGCTTCCGCTGCCCACGGCTGTGTATACAACGCGCACATGCCTCTGCCACACCAGCCAGACTGTGGCCTCCTGCCCTGGGAGCTCACTGCTTCCCTGATGGGACTTGACGCTCTCCCAGCACCGGGCTCCACCGTCACACACGCTTTTGCAATTTTCCAGACTCCTCCCCTCACACGAAGCCCCGCCCCAGCTTTCTGATAGGGCCCCACCAAGGCACAGCCAGCAGGTGGGGAGTAGTCTGGCCGGGCCTCGGAGGAACCTGGTCACAGAAGCCACTGGGCAACGTCGGGAACAGTGGTTGGTGAAAGGGGTCCCGTGCCTCCCCGCCAGGTGGGAATAGCGCCTGTGCTCACCAGGCTGCAGGGCTTCCCGGACCTGGGATGTGCCATGAGGTCTGCTTCACACACACCCTGGACTCCTAGGTCAGGCAGACGGAACAGCCCTTATCCTGGGAATTTCGTTTATTTTTGTTGCTGCTTGTCTTTTGAATAGGGAGTGGAATTTTGCTGACCTAAAAGCTGTGGTCCACGAGTGGACTGCCTCATGAATGATGCAGTGCAGTGTGGTTTTTAATTAGGACCCCGTGGTTGAGTCAATGAGTCTGTAATGGAGACTAATTTTCTTAACCAAGTTAAAAGATTAAAAACCCATTTTACGCCAATTACCAAGAATTCATCTAAATGGGAGTGATATTTCAGCAACAGTCCCTATGAAAGTCCGGTCTCCCCCTGAGTCCCCGCAGCTCTAAATTGACCTGTCCCGTCCTGCATGTTCTAGGTCTGCCCTCCGATGACTCACCTGTGTGAGAAAATCATCTCCACGCTGCCTTCCTGGAGGAAGCTCAACGGGCCCAACCAGCTAATGTCGTTGCAGCAGTTTGTGTATGACGTGCAGGACCAGCTGAACCCCCTGGCCAGTGAGGAGGACCTCAGGTGCATAGCCCAGCAGCTACACAGCGCCGGCGAGGTAAGGGCCGTGCGAGCCCAGGCTGGGGTCCGGGGGACACCAGGGTGGCGCTGGCCTCACAGAATGAGTTTGGGAGCTTTCCCTCTTCAACTTTATGGATTAGTATAAGAAGGATAGGTATTCATTTTTCTTTGAATCCTTGGTAGAATTCACCTGTGAAGAATTCACTTGGTAGGCTTTATTGTTGGGAGCTTTTTAGATTATTGATTGAATCAAGAAGCAGAAAATCTGAACAGACTGAATACTAGAAACAAAATTCAATCTTGGAAGATTATGTTTCTAGAAATGTATCCATTTCTTCTGGTTGTCAAATTGGTTGGTGTATAATTGCTCATACTGTTCTCTTACAATCCTTTTTATTTCTGTTGTGCAAGTTGTCTCTTTTCTTTCTGATTTTATTTATTTGAGCTCTTTCTTTTGTTTTTGCTCTTTCTCTTGCTTTTCTTGATGAATATGGCTAAAAGGTTTATTCCGTTTATCTGTTCAAAGAACCAGCTCTTCATTTCATTGATCTTTTCTTTTTAAATTTGGTCTCTATTTCATTACTTCTGCTCTGATCTTTATTATTTCCTGCCTTCTACCCACTTTGGGCTTCGTTTGTTTATTTGTTTCTAGTTTCTTTAGGTGTAAGTTCAGATTGTTTATTTGAGATTTTTTTTGTTTCTGGAGGTAGGCTTATATCACTATGAATTTCCCTCTTAGAACTACTTTTGCTGTGTCCCAGATTTTAGATTGTTGTTTCCATTTTCATTTGTTTCAATACATTTTTTATTTCCTCTTTGGTTTCTTCATTAACCCATTGATTGTCTAGTATAGTATGTTGTCTCTCCTCCACATGTTTGTATTTTATTCTAGTTTTCTTCTTGTAATTGATTTTTAGTTTCATACAATTGTAATCAGAAAATATGCTTGATGTGATTTCAGTCTTAAGTTTACCAAGACTTGTTTTGTGACCCAACCTGTGGTCTATCCTGGAAAATGTTCCATGTGCACTTGAAAAGAATGTGTATTCAACTGATTTTGAGTGGAATGTTCTGTAAATATCTGTTAATCTATATGATCTAATGCATCATTTAAGACCACTCTTTATTGATTTTCTTTCTGGATTGGGTTTCTCCATTGATATAAGTGGGTTGTTACAGTTCCCCTGCTATTATTGTAACACTACTGATCTCTCCCTTTATGGCTGTTCATATTTGTTTTATGTATTTAGGCTCTCCTATGTTTAGTGCATAGATGTTTACAAGTGTTACATCCTCTTACTGGATTGATCCATTTATTATTACGTAATGCCCATTTTTGTCTCTTGTCACAGTCTTTGTTTTAAAGCCTATTTTGTTTGATATAAATATTGCTATCCCAGCTTTTTTTTTTTCTCATTTCCACTTGTATGGAATACCTCTTTCCATCTATTCATTTTCGGTCTCTTTGTGTCTTTTGATCTGAAGTCAATCTCTTGTAGGCAGAATATGCACGAGTCTTGTTTTTTATCTATTCAGTCACCCTATGTCTTTTGATTAGAGCATTTAATGCATTTACATTTAAAGTAATTTTGGATAGGTATGCATTTGTTGATATTTTATTCATTGTTTTGGTTGTTTTTGGAGTTCTCTGTTTCTTCTTCTCCTCCTCTTTTCTTTTTTGTCTTTTTTTTTAATTTATTTAGAGAGAGGGGAAGGGAAGGAGAAAGAAGGAGAGAAACATTGAAGTGCTAGAGATACATCGATCAGTTGCCTCCTACACACCCCCAATCAGGGACCTGGCCCACAATCCAGGCATGTGCCCCCACCAGAATCAAACTAACAACCCTTCGGTTTGCAGGCCAGTGCTCAACCCCGGAGCCACACCATCACCCAGGGCGCTCTCTTTTAAGTTGATGGTCATTTAAGTTTGAACACATTCTAAAAGCATTCCATTTTTTACTCACCCACCCCAGTTATGTTTTTCACATATTTTTACATCTTTTGTGTGCATATGTGTGTGCCCCTTAATTCATTACTATAGTTACACATGATCTTACTACTTTTTCTTTTGCACTTTATACTAGCTTTCTAATTAGGTGACCCACTACCTTTACTAAATATTTGCCTTAATCGGTGAGATTGTTTTTCTTTCCTGTATTTTCTTATTTGTAGTTTTGGCCGTTTTCCTCTTAGAGAAGTCCTTTTAAATTTCTTTTAATGCCAATTTAATGGTGATGAACCCCTTTAACTTTTGTTTCTCTGGGAAACTCTTGATTTGTCCTTCAGTTCTAAATGTTAACTTCGCTGGCTGGAGTATTCTTCACTGTAGGCTATCCCTTTTATCACGTTGAATATATCATGTCAGTCCCTTCTAGCCTGCAGAGTTGCTGATGAAAAATTGTTTGACAGTCTTGTGGAAGATCATTTGTGCATTACTAGCAGCTTTTAAGATTCTCTCTTTATCTTTAACTTTTGGCATTTTTATTATGATGTGTCTTGGCATGGGCCTCTTAGGGTTCATCTTGTTGGGACTCTCTGGTGTCAAGTTTTCAGCCATACTTTATCTTTTTGGGGGGTGGGGTTTGTTTTTTTTTAATCGATCAGCCATTATTTCTTTAAAGAGATTTTCTGTCCCTTTCTGTCTCTCTTCTTCTGGGACCCATATGATTCAAATTTGGTATACTTGACATTGTCCCAGAGGTCCCTTAAACTATCCTCCCTTTTTTTTTTCCTTTTGGCTGCTCCAGTTGGGTGATTTGCACTATCCTGTCTTTCTGCTTGCTGACTCATCCTTCTGCATCAACTAGTCTGTTGTTGATTCTCTCTAGTGTAATATTTTTTTCATTTCACTGTATTCTTTATTTCTGATTATTTCCTTTTTTATATTTTCTATCACTTTGTTGAAGTTCTCACTGAATTCACCTCCCAAGTTCACTGAGCAGCCTTGTAACCAACGTTTTGAACTCTTTATCTGGTAGATTGCTTATCTCCCTTTCATTCCATTCTTGTCCTGGCTTTTGTTTGGAACATATTTTTCTATCTCCTCATTTTAGCAATCTGTCTGTGTTTGTTTCTGTGAATTAGGTGAAAAAGCAACATTTCCCAGTCTTGAAGGAGTGGCCTTATTAGGAGCTTCCCCTTTGTAGACTGTGTATGCCAAGTGTTTGTGGCAGGCCAGCTGGACCTGGAGCCGGAGCAGGCGTGAGCCCAGGCAACCTGGGGCAGGTCACACTAAGGCCCCCTGGGCAGGCTGATTGGAACAGGAGTGGGAGGAAACCCTGTGGAGTCCTGCGCGCAGCACTTACTGTGGCTTCCTTGGTGGGGCTGCGGAGGTTTTAGTTGAAGCCATCTTAGGCTGAGGGTAGTCCTGGGATAAGCGTAGCTGAGCTTGGAGCTGAAGCTGGAGTGGGCTTGGGTCACAAGGAGTCCAGGGGTCAAGCCAAGCCAGAGCCCAGAGCTTTAGCGGAGCAGGTGCAAGGTAAGGGGAGTTCTCAGGGGAAGCTGCACTGGGGCCCCCTTGGCAGGCCAGTTGGAGCTATACCTAGAACAGGTGTGGTCTACAGGAAGTCCCTGGGGTAAGCCACGCTGGGTTCAAGAGTTGTAGAAAATTCATTTACTAACCCTAGAGCATCGGCCAGAGTGGAGGGAAACTATGGGTTAGTAAATGAATTCTCGTCCCAAAGTCTAGGTGCCCTTTAGGCCACTGTTCTCTCATGTGCCCATGTTCCATGCACAGGCCGTTCAGGGGTCCCTTCCTGCAGCAGGTCAGTGCTCTGGGGTTGGGTTTCTCGCAGTACCATTTCTCTGTCTCTCCTACCTGTTCCTCTGTGGTTTCTCCCTCGTTTGTTGTTCAGGAGCTATTCCGGCAGCCCTCAGTTCTTCTTCAGGGGGAATTGCTCTGTAGGTATAAATTTTATGTGTTCTTGGGATGGATGAGTTCAGGGTCTTCCTATGCCACCATCTTGGACTGAGGGTCTCTACTCTCCAGGAATTTTCAGTCTGAAGCTCAATTGTAAACAGAATTGTGTACAGAAGGCATCTCAAAGATTTAAACCAGACTATGGGCAGAAAGGTACGCCTGGTGCAAACAGGTGCAGACTCTCAGCCTCTAGATGAGAACAGAGTCCACCTGGAATCACCATTATTCATAGAACTAGCCCAGAACAGGGAGGGTAGAGAGGAAGGGTAGGTGTTCTATAACAGGGAAAGTTGCCTCTGTTTTTTGTCACATTTTTTAAAGTATATTTTATTGATTATACTATTACAGTTGTCCCATTTTTTTTCTCCCCTTTATTCCCCTCCAGCCTGCACCCCCTCCCTCCAGCAATCTCTCCCACCCCTTAGTTCATGTCCATGGTTCTTACATATAAGTTCTTTGGCTTTTTCATTTCCTATACTATTCTTAACCTCCCCCTGTCTATTTTATACCTACCTCTTATGCTTCTTGTTTCTGTACCTTTTCCCCCATTCTCCCTCTGCCCCCTCCCCACTGATAAACCTCCGTGTGATCTCCAACTTTTTTTCTTTCCAACGTTCACTTTTTAAAGAAACAAATGTGACTAGTAAAGCTAAGATCCTCTCTGACCATCACCTCTAGTCTCATTCCTCTCCCCAGCTCTCCAGGGCTAATCACTGTCATGGTGCCATGTCTTCCCAGAACTTTTTATGCATGTATATTAAAAATGTACAATATAATATAACACTCTAAATCTTTTTTGAAAACTTACAAGCCTTTAGAGAAGTAGCAACAACAGTACAACAAATCCTCATATACTGTACACCTAAATTAAACAATTGTCTACATTTTGCTACATTTTCTTTTATCCCTCTCTTCTATTTATTTTCTTATTTACTTTGCAAACATCATTATATTTCACCCCTAAATAACTTAGCCTGAATTGCCTAAAGGGTGGACATTTTCCCATGTAACCTCAATATGATTATCACATTCTGGGCACATAATATTGATATAATACAATTATTGAATATATAGTCCTTACTCAAATGTTTGCCACTTATGCCAATAATTTCTTTTATAGCTGTTTTTACTTATTTATGTATTTATTTTGGGATAGAATCCAGTCAAAAATCAGTCATTCCATTTAGCCGTCTCACCTTTTTTTTTGTTTTGTTTTTCATTACACTACTTTTTTTTTTCCTTACTTTATTCCAGTAGAACCTCACGGAGTCCTTTTTTTTTTTTTTTTTTAATTTTTTTGACCTGCTTCTTCTGAGCTGGAGAGGGGCTTTTTTTAAAAAAGTTTTTTGTTTGTTTTGATTGATTTTGGAGAGAAAGGGGAAGAGAGTAAGAGAGCGCGCGTGAAGCATCGATCCGCCATTTCACCCACCCATGCATTCATTGGTTGATTCCTGTACTGTGCCCTGACTGGGGATCGAACCCTAACCCTGGTGCATCAGAATGACACTCCAACCACCTGAGCTAACTGGCCAGGGCTACACTGACCATTTTTAAGAGTCCATGGTCTTCTCAAAATTTCCCTTATGACCTTCTCAAATTGGTTTTTTGGCTTAGTGATTGATTTTTGAGATCCAGCAACATGGACACTCTGAGTCATTCTTTGCTACATCTGCTCAGATTTTGTCACTGCGCAGGCATTTTTGTTCTCTGAGCAGCTGGTGCCTCTGTTCGTTTAGGTTCCTAGGTGTGACCTCTCGTTGTCCCTTCTGGCAGATCAACATCATGCAGAGTGAAACAGTCCAGGACGTGCTGCTCCTGGACCCCCGCTGGCTCTGTACCAACGTCCTTGGGAAGCTGCTGTCCGTGGAGACCCCACGGGCCCTGCACCACTACCGGGGCCGCTATACCGTGGAGGACGTCCAGCGCCTAGTGCCCGACAGTGATGTGGAAGAGCTGCTGCAGATTCTAGATGCCATGGACATCTGCGCCCGGGACCTGAGCAGTGGGACCATGGTGGACATCCCCGCCCTGATCAAGACAGACAACCTCCACCGCTCCTGGACAGACGAGGAGGATGAGGTGATGGTCTACGGCGGTGTACGCATTGTCCCCGTGGAGCACCTCACCCCCTTCCCGTGTGGCATCTTTCACAAGGTCCAGGTGAACCTATGCCGGTGGATCCACCAACAGAGCGCCGAGGGCGATGCAGACATTCGCCTGTGGGTGAGCGGCTGCAAGATAGCCAATCGCGGGGCCGAGGTTCTGGTGCTCCTGGTCAACCACGGCCAGGGCATCGAGGTCCAGGTACGCGGGCTGGAGACAGAAAAGATCAAGTGCTGCCTCCTGCTGGACTCGGTGTGCAGCACCATCGAGAATGTCATGGCCACCACACTGCCAGGACTGTTGACTGTGAAGCATTACCTGAGCCCCCAGCAGCTGAGGGAGCACCATGAGCCTGTCATGATCTACCAGCCACGGGACTTCTTCCGGGCACAGACCCTGAAGGAGACCTCTCTGACTAACACCATGGGCGGGTACAAGGAAAGCTTCAGCAGCATCATGTGTTTTGGGTGTCACGACATCTACTCACAGGCCAGCCTGGGGATGGACATCCATGCATCAGATCTGAACCTCCTGACCCGGAGGAAACTTAGTCGCCTGCTGGACCCGCCCGATCCTATGGGGAAGGACTGGTGCCTTCTCGCCATGAACTTGGGCCTTCCTGATCTTGTGGCAAAGTACAACACCAATAATGGGGCTCCCAAGGAGTTCCTCCCAAGCCCAGTCTATGCCCTGCTCCGGGAATGGACCTCCTATCCCGAGAGCACAGTTGGCATCCTTATGTCCAAACTGCGGGAGCTGGGGCGCCGGGATGCGGCAGACTTCCTACTGAAGGCGTCCTCTGTGTTCAAAATCAACCTCGATGGCAATGGCCAGGAGGCCTATGCCTCAAGCTGCAACAGTGGCACATCTTATAATTCCATTAGCTCGGTCGTGTCCAGGTGAGGGCAGCTTTGGCTTGGGCAGGGTGTCTTCAAACTGCAGAAGCAAGGGGGATGTAGCCCATCTTTCCCATCAGAGATTATTCCGGGTGTATCCCTTCCTATACCCACGTTCCGAAGGACAACACCCTCCCTCCCACCTCACCTATTTCTCTGCTACTCCCTCCCTCCCTCTCACACATCCCATTGTGAGCGAATGGTCTTTCTAGTTTAAGAGCTGACCATATCCTTTCCTGTGGCCATTCGAAAAGCTAATGTCTCTCCTCTCCATGTTCTGGACTCCATCTGTCAGCCTCTAGTACCTTGCTTCTTACTGATAATTTTACTGGAACTCCTAACTTTTCAATGAAAAATTTTTAACTATTATATTGATTGTCCTTTAAATAAAAAGTGCACATTTATCCAAAATGTGCATTTCTTAAACTCTTTTCTTTGGTTATATATCATGTCCTCAGCTTATCTTTTTTATATTTATAGGAAAATCCCTCATGTATGGACTCCCACTGTATGATTTATAAATAGACAATATGTGAGTGCCTTTTGCAGACGAGGGTGTGTTTGAGATCATCCAAGTCAGCCAGGAGCTGTCACGAAGGAAACGCTCCCTCTCTGTCCCTTGCTGTATGCTGATCATCGCCAGAGGTGCTTCACCCTGAGGGGTCCCCCCACCCCGCCGGCAATTTTGTGTTTTATTTGGCAAGGAAAGGGGAGAAAGGAATCCTCCTCGAGAGTGATTTCATGGCCAGTGTTGTTGCTACGATAAGACATGTGTTCATTAGCCTTTGTTTAAACATCAATGTGAACGTCCACATGGAGATGACAAACCGTCGCGCGTTCTCATTCCCTCTCATCTCAGGTAGAAGATTGACACAGCTGTAGGGCTATGAAGATCTGTATGAGAATTCAAAACCCGTGACTCATGATTCGTGGCCGTCCGTTGTCATTTGTGCATAGCAGATGGTTTCCCACAGAGATCCTGTTTGATAACTTCCTGTACTTGAAGTCTAAAAAAGAAAATAAAGGAAGCAAGTTTTCTTGCAGTGATTTTAAATTGTGATAGTTTTAAATTCATATGAGGGAACATGTCCTAATTCTTCTGTCCTGAGAAGCATGTAATTTTAATGTTATATCATATGTATATATATATATGCAGTATGTATATACATATATATTAATACAAGTATTTTTACTTAATCTATAAAATGTAGTTAAAAAGTCATTTGTTTTTCTTTTCTTTTGTTGTTTTTTTTCTTTTTTAAAAAAATAAATAAACTATATTGCTTGTTGCATTAGTTTGTTGGTCTTTAATTCAAAAGGAATTCTTTTTTTCCTCCTTTGTCTCTCCTCACCAGTAGCACACTACACATGGTGGGACAGACCCATCTGAAATCCAGAAACTCATTAAACTCAAATTCCCAGGTATGAAAAACAACCCAGTTCATTTAGGTGCTTAATTATGAGTAAAACTGGGAATGGTTTGGGGAAGAAAAAAAAGCCCAGATGAATTTCACATTAGTTCTCACTGTAATGAAAAGAGGTTCCTTCAATTTTCTTTGGATGAGCCAAAATAACAAGTGGAGTCATATAGCCTCAGCAATGGGGAGACATAGGAAGCTTTCTGTTTCTATACAAAAGTGGAGGGAATGGCGCCCTGGAGGAGCAAGAGCAAACCTGCTGCCAAAGATACCTAACTTCCTGCCCTTTTTTAAATACAGACCAACTAGAAACTCTGCTTTTGACTTGCATGGTAGCTGTAGGACACAAAAGCTCTAAGTGACAAAACCTATATTTAGTAAAATCTCATGACTGCTTTAAAAGAAGTGGTCAAAGAAAAAAGATTGGAAGGAAGATGACTAGGCCCGCAATGCAAAAGGTCTCCGGTTCAAGTCCCAGTAAGGGCACATGCCTGGATGGCAGGTTCCGTCACCAGTCAGGACATGCAGGAAAGGCAACCGATCAATATTTCTCTCACACATCGATGTTTCCTTTCCCTCTTTTTCTCCTTTCCTTCCCCTCTCTCTCAAAATAAATAAAATCTTTTTAAAAAGTTGGAAGAAGACTAAAATGGTTAACAAGGATTTTCTCTGTGTTGATAGGAATGTAGTTCATTTCTGTTTTGCCCAAATTGCCCACAATAAACACAATTTACTTTTATAATGAAAAAAGGAAGATTGATTAAATTAAACTAAATGCTACACATAGACATACCTAGAGAGGAGACAAACTGAAACTGAACAAATTTAAAATCAGTGTGGAATGTTGGGGTGTGGAACCTCCTTTTCTTGCGTCAACTCCCTCCTGAAAGCCAACTCTACTCCCTCTTCAAGGGCACTGTACATCTCAGGGATACAGCATCAAGCAGCTAGACACCAGAGGCAAGGCGTTTGCTTCTGGTAGGACCTGTATGTGAAACCCCAGAGGATTCTGACTGGTCCAGCTTGGTTCACTGGGCCATCCCTCTGCAAAACACAGTGGCTGGGGGACACAGAGTTCCCTGATTGGCCTGGCCCCAGGGACCCTGGGGGGATGCTGGGAAAAGACCGTTTTTCCCCAATGAAAGGGGGTGCATTAACAGGAGAAAGGGGCAAAGGGAAAATGCTGGGCAAATGATTGCAAACAACTGTACTAGTCTTCCTACTTTTGTTTGATGCAGGTGCGGGGCCGGGCACCTGTTTATAAGATTATAGGTCCACCTGGGCCCTGTTGAAGCCATCTTAGAAATCATTTCAACCCAAATTAGAAGAGGTTAAGGAACACCGAGTTCACTGTCCCATCCTGGGAAAAGCCATGTGGGAGGCGTTTTAGGAGGCCATGGAGTCTGGTGAGACTGAAACTGGCAAAGCTTCCTGAAGGAGGGAGGATGCTAGACCCCATCTTCAGGCCGTGAGGCAGGAGATAGCATAAGAACTCTGAGGCCGCGGTGCTGTTGCTGGCCCACGTCTAGCGTCCTGGTTGCCAGGCAACGCCTTTTAGCACTTAGGTAGGGTAGGATAGATAGTAAACCCAGACAGAGAAGAGGAGGGAGACTTGTCTCACCCACTGACCCAGCAGTCTTGAGCCTGGTCCCATTAAGGTTGCCAGGTATTCCAAACAACACAAGCAAAACTGATAGTACAGGAGGATGGGAGAGTCCTTGTGATTGGGCTTCTGTAACAATCTTACTAAGACTGCCGGGTGCTCTGAACATCCCAAGGCCTAGAAGGCAGGAGGGGAGTCCTTGAACTTCTAAGTACCATTTCCACTATCTGGGAAAGAACCCCCACACATACCTACGTTTGGGTAGTCACATCTCCCCGGGGTTAGCTGGCACCAGCTTTACCGGCCAATCAATATGTAACTCCCTCACCTCCATCCCGCCAACCGTGTAAACCCTCAGGACAAAAGACCTGATGCCTCTGGCCAACTGGGCCTCTGGCCACCCTTGCTTTTGCCACCCCTGCTCTTGCCTTTCCCTGTACCTTGGCAAGGCCCGTTCTCTTCCGTTAGAATGTATCACTAATAACCCTGTGTGCATGCTGATAGACTTGCTGATTTGTAATTCATTACCGCTTCAGCAAGAACCAGGTTTCTCCCCTTAACAGCCACAGGAGAAGCAAAAAGTGTAAGTTCTTAGGGGCCAGAAATAAAAGCCTTTCAGGGGACCCTTTTTCTTATAGTTGCTGTGAGATGTGCTTGGCTAACATGTTTCTCATCCTCTCTGGGCTGTGGCTGCCCCTTGGTTCAGAGTCCCACCTTGGGCTGCCCTGGGTACCTGAGGTTCCCGTGTGGATAACAGCACCCCAGGGACCCAGAGCCTCTATGGCGTGCGCTGGAGGGCATTTCTGGGAGTTCTGATTGGTTACACAATCTGAATTCCACACCTTCATAGATGAATCAGAACTCTGGGAATTCTGGCGGTCTTGGAGAAAGGGGCTTACAATTACAACTACAGGATTTCCTGAAATGATATAACTACATTTGTCCCATCAATGTTCAGAGAACACATGGGTCTGTGGACAAAAAAGGGGTTCTACAGAAAGTAACCTCACAGGGTGAACTAGCATAAATTCCTAAATGGACAGGTCATGGTGAGTAATCACACCCCAGGCCTCTGACTTCTTTAGTACAAGGTTTTTAAGGCAGCCCTGTCCATTGTTCTTGCACGACTAGGTTAACACACTTTGAAATGCCAGAGTGACCTCTTTCTTAAAGGATTTTGTTAACCATCCCGTATTCCAATCCCCACCTTGCTTTCTCCTACTTTAATCTTCCTTAAGTTCCCTTCCTAATTCAAACACATAAGAAAAACTATCATAGGAAGCATTTTTCTCAGTCTATTGAGATCATTCTCTGCAGGTTTTCAGACATCTCATATCTGCCCTGCATTTGTTACTTTCTTGAGTCTTGCAAGTCCCAGAGTGGACTTTGTTTCAGTCGCGGGACCACAGACACCAGAGCTGTGCTTCCTGAGAGAGCGGGGACGTCAGCTCCCAGGGGAAGGGAACACGGTTTGGAGATTTTCCCCATGCTGGTGGGAACCCAGCATCCTCCGAGATGACAGGACACCAGGGAGATGCTGAAGAACTGAGGCCCGTGGGCTGTAAGGAAGAGCAGTGTCTACCTCCCAGCAGTCCTTTCGAAGAAGCCCGGCCCTCGCTGAGGAGGGACCTTGACATGGACATTTGAGGGTTCGGCCCAAGAAGGCAGCTCTGAACCAAGGGAGCCGAGAGAACAAGAGGAGCAGCCTCCCCATGAGGCCGCTGTGTGCGCGCTGATTGCGGCGGGGGTGGCTCGTTTGGTTGAGAGAATCTTCTGCCACTGACCCCTGTGACCCCCGTCTCTCTAAGCACTGGCTGAGGATGTTGTTGCACATGGTAATATTTCCTAATAAGCCAGCCATCCTCAGCTGCATTTTATCACAAATCTACTCCTAGATTCTTCCACATGTGGAAAACTGACCAGTAGAAAGATGAATGGAGACAGTACTTCTGAGTGTAGGGTTGAGAAACAGATAAAATCTCTTCCTTGAGAGGAGCCCATGTACCACTTGATCGTTTCAGTTTAGCTCAAAGGCTCCTGGGGCATAATCTTCATACCCAATGAAATACTGATTCCAAAAGTGATTCCCTTTTCAATTTCAAATGTAAGTATTTTTCAGCAGTTTATACCTGTTTCTAACAAGCCAATATTTATTGTTACTCGATTCTGCTCCTTCAGAGCCATAGCCACCCACCAAATGCCACAGCCTAGGTTTCCGCTGCTGCCGTGTAGGTCATAATAAACACCTGGGAAAGTAAAATCCCATGTTGGGTTGAGGACCTCCAAGTGATGTGTGACAGTAACCCAGCATGTCAACCACAGTTAGGGAGGCACCTCAAAATTCAGTTAAATGATATAAAACTGAGAAATATTTGAAAATAAGATCTTTTTTAAATCTAGATTAGGGATTTAGGCCCTCATCTCATACTAGCAAAAATACGAACCGACACAATCTCTTCTGTAAACAATGTGTTGAGAGGCATAAAGACACTTCCGGAAGCCTTGTCATTCTGCTTTTAGAATGTCAGTCTAAGGCAATAGCGCAGTACACAAAACTACTTGAGCCAAAGGGTCTTTACAGTTTTAATTACAATAGAGAAATTCTTTGGAAAAATGGAAAGGTCTAACAATTGGAAAAAACATATTAAGCTAAACCAATTGAATTATGTAGCCATTTAAATATATTTATGAAGTGCTTAAAATCATGGAGCTATGGTTCAAGTAATGTCAAATGGAAACATCAGGGAAAAATATTATGTGTGCACAATGAACAATGTTAAATCCACACACCCACAAACTATTCAAACCAAAAAGTCAGCCTTGCTGCGTGTCATGGTGGTTTTCCAATTCCTCTGCCTGAATTTCTACATAGACAATGCTTACCTTCTTTACAGAAATAGAAGCTAAAATGGTTTGCATCTATAGCAACAGAGATGGGCCCCACAGTTACCGCTGCCTTCGTAGGGGACCCCTCTGCTGATGGATGTCCGTGAAGCCAGTGTCATTGGCAACAGAATACTCAGACTTGTATTTGCAGGATCCAACCTTGTAAAGGGAAAGGAAAGATGTTTGCTTACTACCATTGACCTCCTGGTGAACATGAGTTTAAGACAGTTTGCAGCTTAATGTTTTCCAAGTTAAGTTTGTGAAATGCTATTTGTTGTCCTGAAATTGAAAACGAGCTGGTTCTATTCAACGAGACACTCTCGGTCTACCTGTCCATAATAAATGTTTCACTCTGGAGAACAGTGTACTATATATAGAATGGTATGCATATCTCTGTGTAACATATTAGTAAGAACTGCTATACAATAACCATCTAAACAGAGAACTGTTCGAGGCCAATATATTTTAATGAAAGTTCTGACAGTTTGCATCTACAGGTTCTATGATCTACAATTTGAATTCTAAATATGGTATCTGTTCTCTCAAAGGTGTTCAACTTTCAAAGGAATGATATAAGATACGGAACTTTGTTTACCTTTGGACGATATGGGTAGGATTCCTGAGTCCAGGCCTCCATTGGACTTAACACACTGGAATGCATTATCCATTAGGCCACCTATTGCCTTGAGGCTGAGAGCAGTCCACAAGGTTCTGCTCACTCAGTGAATTAAGTCTGCCGGTTTTCCAGAACATCTGTCTCTCAAAGGCACCAGTTGCACTAAAAGCCCAGCAAGAACCACAGTGACACTTAAAATTTAAAAGCTCTCCGTCTACAAAAAAAAGAAAAAAAGCAAGACTTTGACAACTTTGCTGATAAATCTGAAAACTCTTAAACATTAGCAAACTGCACATTGCTCTACTGTCTACCACAGCAATGACACCAGCTCCTTTATGGCTTTACTCTTCGAGAGAGACCTGCTGAATATTGTCATACCTGATCCTTGGCAGGAGTTATATAGCCTGCTTCTCTCCAATCCACAGTTGGGGGGATTTCAGCCGGGAGAGGTTCCTGGAACACTTTCCTTTACTTGTGCTTCTGGTTTTGAAAGTCATTCATCACCTGCCTGAATTCTTCATTGGTCTTCAAGGAAAAGGAAAGAGAATGTTGACAAGCAAAAGACGACTTGGGTGTAGCACTGAGGAGAGGAAGCACAGAGAAGCCTCCCGAGCCACACTCACATGTCACCAAAGGCATCCATTGTCATGGTGAGGCTCTGTTTCCCTCGGTTGTATTCCTGGTTGTGCAGGTCAATCATTTTCATAGTCTTCTCCCACAATCCTCTATCCTTCTTCATTCTGAAGCAAACATATAACCTATCCTCTTTATTTCTATGTAAAACCAAATCACCTTCCCAAGTGGATTTGCAGACAGGAGGGAAGAGAAATCATCGCCAGGAAATGATTTATACTTCAGGGAGCTGTTCTCCAGCACTCACGCAGCAGGGATGTTTGCCCAAATTGTGCTCAGTAATGGGCGTCATGAAGTTATTGCCTTGGGAAGAGCTGGCCCCTAGAAGCTACTTTCTGCTATCAACTCTCAAGAGCCTAGACCATTCTCTGAGGGGGTCCCTCTGGGCAGTTTCAGATGTTACCAACCAAACCATACATACAGTTACATGCGCGAGGCCTTTCACTGGTTCCATTGTGCATCTAAACTTCCATTAAATTTTAGAGCAGCTGAAGTTATTCCTAAGTAAAAGGCAGTCAGGACGAGTGAAAGATACATGTTTCAAAAACCTAGAAAGGGAAAAGAAATGAGTAGTATCTGATTAAACCAATCCTTCTAAAAAGCCATCCTATTTTCTTGAGATGTTTGTTACAGCCACCGTCGTGGAGTAAAAACCATGAATTTATTCTCCCAAATATTTACACAAAGACTGTAGAGGGAAGCTACACATGTGGGTAGAGAAAAACAGCCCAGACAGAAACCGCATTCCTGCAATCGGGACAGGGCCAGCCTCTACTGAAGCATGTAGCACCTCTGGGACCGGACTACACGGCAAGCAGACTGGGTCGGGCCTGGGGAGAGCCGCCTACTCCCCGCCCCCCGCACCTGCCACCGCTCCCAGGAGGGCAGGGAGGGGTCGCCCCGCAGCCCAGAGGGCGGAAGTCAGACCGCCCTGTCCGCCAGGCCAGGGACCAGGGACCGTGCCTCCTTGAAACCCTCGCACCCTCCATCCGCAAGGCTGGTTCCCCGGGCGCTCACCTGCGGCGGGCGGAGTCAGCACAGGCAGGTCCAGGGGTTTTTGAGGCTGGGCTGTGACGCCGAAGTCCCGGGAATTTCAGGAATTTAAGGCCCGGGGAGTTCGGCCTTTCTGGCCCCGCCCCCACATGGACTGCCAGCGCCGCGATTGGCTGATCCGACCTATTGGCGGGGCCTTCGAGCGCTGGGGTTCCAGGAGCCTGACTAGACTCCCTGCAATTTGGTCCCAGCCTTAGATGAGGGGGTAGGGGTGGGCGGAGGCCCGCTTATGACCCGGGGACAACGCTGAGGAGTGCGGCGTTTCTCTGGAATCCAGATCAGCTCCAAGTGGATTTTCACCTTAACCTTGCCTGTCCTTTAGTCCCAGAGTTTTTGGTTAAAATCTCCCCGAGGGCTGAGCACAGTGTAAGCTGGCCGAGTGGTTTCTGTTTACATGACAGGTCTGCCGGGATGGAAGAATGCAGAGCCCAGGGGCAGATGGCTTATCTTGTTTCAGGATGGGTGAGGCTAGGTTTTGGAAGAACCTGAAATGGAATGGCAATACCCAAAACACTGGCCTAAATCCTTGGAAGGAAAGAGGAGGGAGAGAGGGAGTAGGTGGGTTCTCCAGTGAAAGCATAGCATTTTGGGTCTTTTATAAAAATATATTTTATTTATTTATTTTTAGAGAGAGGGGAAGGGAAGAAAAAAGAGGGAGGAATATCCATCCGTTGGTTGCTTTTCCCACTTACATCCAAGCAGGGGCCTGGCCTGCAACCCAGGCCTGTGCCCTGACCGAGAATGGAACCAGCGACTTCCACCTTTCCACAGGACACCCAACCTACCGAGTCACACGGATCACTGCAGGCACGGCCTTTTGTAATAATCTTTTCCTGCCTTCCCAAACCAGGATCCTTCTTCCTTCTCAAGCCTTGTTCAAACTGACAGAAGAATTTGGTTTAATGAAAGGAGGAGGAAAGGCAGAAAGTAGAAACTGCTTTTACCTCCCTACTCTAGCTTGTGGCTTATTGTCTTCCTTAACGTACTTTTCTTGATATTTCATTTAAAAATTTTCCTTTAATGACTTTTACTTCAATGATTTTTACTTTAATTTACATTTAATGTCAGGATTTAAGTGACAGCTTGTGAAAACGTTTTAAATGGAGAAAATATATTAAATATTAATGTACATAATTAAAAATTCCCCAGAAAGCTTGTATGGTTTTCTTTTTCATGACATAAAAAGAATCATTGTTGAACATACCATTCAGGGGGAAAAAAATACCATTACCTCATGTTCCTTCCCACATCATCTTTTTCTAAGTGTAGTTTGAATTCTTTTGATAAAAATGGAGTCAAGGTTCATGAGAACTTGTAGTTTCTAGAGGATTAAATTGATAAACCCAGAAGCACAATCAGAAGTATAATAATTTTTACTGTGATAATATGTATGCAACATAGAAAGGTCTACTTTAACCATTTTTACATGTCCAGTTCAGTGGCATTAAATTCATTCACATTGTGCAACCGTCACCGCTGTCCATGTCCAGAACTTGTCACCTTCCCAAACTGAAAGCCTGCACTCCGTACTCATCCAACGGTGACTCTCCATTCCCCTCTCTCTCCTGCCCCCTGCAACCCACATTCTACTTCTTGTCTCTATAAATTTGACTATTCTGGTGTTGACAAAAGAAACATCCAAACCTGTAGAGAATTTTTATAAGTTTATTTGAGCCAAACTGGCGGCATATGCCAGGGAGCAAGATCTCAAATGCTCTAGAGAATAACAGTAAATATATTGGGAGTTTCCTAGTCACTTAAAAGAAGAACCTTATTTTGCCACAGTTTCCTTTTCAGGATTACGTTAGGACAGTGTGGGTACCCTGCAGGGCTATGTAGGAGCAACGCAGAGTTAACTTCTTGAGAATAATAACTAAGGTTCACTAGCTGCCTTCTTAAGAAGTTGTTAAACATCATGGTTACAAACAGAATTTAATACCCAACTTGTTTTTGTTCACTCAGGCAGTGAAACCATCCTGAACAAGGATTATATCATTATACCTGATTTTTTAACAGTTTTAATAATTTGATCCCATGACCTGAGGCCTACATATTAAACACAGATTTGTTGAAGTGAGATGTATAGTTTTGTTACATACTATAATAAAAGAGTGACTAGTACAATCCTGAAATCAATGCTCCAGTCTGGTTCTGGTTGTCTAGTCAGCATCAGGGCTGATACCTCTACTGTGGTTTCATAAAATGCTAACACTGTCCCATGAATAAGAGGGTTCCACCGTCAGTGTATTTGGGAACCGCTGGGTGAAATGGGTCTCGTTACCGCAGAACTGGCACAATGACATACAATGACAGTGCATGCTGTCCATCACCCAGGGAGAGGTGGCAGCATACAAATAGAAACTTATCTGATGAAGGAACACTTTTGTTAGAGCACCTCACAGCACCTGTGCTCCACAGGACAGTTAAGGAAATGCTGACGGTTTGTTTGATTTTTAAATTCAAATGATACCAGTTGTAAAGGCAAGAATCAGAGTTCACTGACCTTGTTGTACAAGCAGCCATTTGCTTGAGGGCAGCTTTTCATTTCAGGTGAAAATATCACGTCAGCACTGGCAGGGGCCACAGAGATAACAAGATCTGTGGTTGTATCACAGATTCTACAATAAACCACCTGAGGATTCTAATATAATTTTGCGACCTAACAGCTAGGTCCTTTTGCAGTCTGTCTCTGACCTTGCTTGAGTAACTAGGCCATTTTTCGGTTTAGACATGAACTCTGTCCGCCTGACCAGCTGCATTCCCTGCATTGTCCATTTCACCACAAGACTCGTTTTACCAGTTATTTCATGGACTCCAAGGGAAACTGAGGCATTGGTCCCTGCCTTGGGACCCCTCCCCCATTTGCCATGTCTTATGACTGACTCCTGCTGTTGACCATCTCCCGGAGCTCTATCTGCTGACCATGAGCCAAGTGAAACTGCCCATCGTGCTCATTTCACAAGCCCACTTGCTGACACTGCTGAGTCAGCAGACCTCGCGGAGTCCCGCTGCCCCGCCAATCAGAAAATGAATGACACAAGTTTATGGACTTGTTTACCTAGCAACCCATCCCGTTGACTCTCCCTTTTAAAACACTTGCCTTATTCTTTGCACCTTAAAGCGTGTCTTTGGTTTATGCTGAAGGCTATGTTCTGTCAATGTAAGAAACGTTCAAACCTGTAAGAATTATGAGTTTATGTGAGCCAAACTGACGACACTGCCTGGAAGCAAAACCTCAATGCATTGAGAAAAGGCTCTGGAAAAATGGCAGTTCTGCACCTTATTTTATATATTAGAATCAAGAAGACAAAAGTGGGTTACAGGAAACCCACTGGTGATAGATGAGGGAGGTGGAGGAGAGCAAAGTGCGAGAAGCCTCAGGTTGGATAAAAAGTAAAATAACAGACACATCTTTTACATAGGTGGGTAGAAGATAGTTACTGTCAACAATTAACACGATAACAATAACAATGAGGAGATTTGTGGTCTCCCCCTGGTGTGGAGCGTGTGCTTTGAGGGATCTGGAAAAAGGAAATTTGCCACTCCAAAGGTATGTTATCATAGAGGCAGAGAGACAATAGGCAGGGTCAGTTAAGGTAAAGATTGACTTTTGTCAGGGAAGACTCTAGCCTAGGACACAAACACCCATGAACTGCTTTCAGTAAGAGCGTTTTAATTTCAGACCACCCTGTGTGGTTACTTCAGGTGTCCTAGGTTGTAAGGCTGCCATGCTGGTCTCCCCTGAGCTTGCCAGGCTTCGTTATGTGGCCCCTTTTCACCCACAGATCTGATTTGCAAATCATTCAAAATAAAACTCTCTCTAGTTCCTCAGAAGAGTCCTGTGGACTTTCACTTACACACCTGAGAAACTTCAAAAAATACACGTGGCTGGACAGCCTGTCAGGATGTTTTAATGGGGGCTGGGCACAGGCCCATGAAAAAGACTCCCAGGTTGGTTCTGAAATGCAGCCTCTGATCCAGATAGCCAATGACCAGCACTAGGACGTCAGTCAGAAGTTTTCATTTCTTCATATCCTACTTACTGGTTTATTTTCATCAATGGGTATGAACCAGATGCCTTCTCTGTTCCGGGCTGTATGCCTGGCAACAGCTTGACTCCATGTTAAAATCAAACAAGGGAAGTCTTGTTTCAGCTTCAGTCTGAAGAAAGACTTCACCTTCATCTGAACTGGACCATTTAGAACCTTGAGAAAACTTTTCTCAAATAGATTTCCAGTAGAAGTTTTATATATCCTATTGAAGTTTTTAAACGACAGCAAAAAAAAAAAAAGGCGGGGGGGGAAGGTAGACATTCAATATAAAAAGAGATACTTGTGAGATTGTGATTTATAATCATGTATATTTGGTCTTCATCTCCACCCCCCTTGGAATGTCCTAGGTGATGAAAGCAACAAAGATGCCCTTCCTCTGTTAATGAAGTGACTATTGAACCACCACCATGAATTACAAACAACTAATCTAAA